GGGCAGCAGTCTTGAGAAAGCCAGGAATGACCAGGGAGAAGAGTTTAGTTCAGGAGCCCCCAGACATCTAGAGGCTCTTTCACGGCCAATAGCTGTTTTCTGGTTGTTGAAAAGGTCATTATGACAACGGAATCTATGGGAACACATGCCCATATGTCAGAGTGGCCAAGTTGGGTCTACATGGCAGCCATCGAGGTGCCCTGCTCACATCTCCCTTCAAGAGAACCTGCTGTGAGAAGTGTAATTGGCTGACAGCCCCCAGCTGCTCTACACCTCTCCATCTGCCTCAATGTCTGTGTCCCCCATTTCTGCCCAATGGAAGACTCCTCTAGTAGGCAATCTTTGCCAGGGACTCCCCATTGGCCTTGCTGACACTCTTACAGCTGCACTGTAATCTGAGACTCCTCCCACCCAATTCTTCCTTCCCTCTCTCCTTTCACACGTGTCAGGCTCTCACTGCCTACTCCTGCTCCCTTCCCCCTTTATCCTTCACAGCTGTTTTCTCCTATAAATCTCTTGCACGTCTAATTCTGTCTTGGCATCTGCTTCTCGGAGGACCCGAACTAAAAGTCTGGTATATTCACCGTCTGGGTCCAGCTCTACTGTAAGGTTGATTCTCAGGGTGGGCAAATCTGGGCAATTTTACAATAGCTGGAGAGAGGCTGGTGGACAGAATCACTTGTGGAGTGTTGAGAAGGAGGGCTGGAGAAGGGTGTGAAAATCAGAGAAAACTGAACACGTTTATCAGCAAATGCGATGAGCTGGATAACTTACAATGCATGTTCACTTATGGAGGAGAAAACACTAGAAGGAGCTGGATTTTAATCCCAACCCCCCATCTCTTTGGCCAAGTCACTTAGGCTTAATTTCCTCATCTATAAAATGGGAATAATTTAACTTACCTTGCTGGGTTGTTGTAAGAATGAAGAGGATGCATGTAAAGTACTCAGCAGCGTGCCTGGCACAGGAGCTCTCAATTCAGAATAGCTATTTTTAATTAGTAGTATTTTCCTTCAGAAAAAGAAACAATGACTTTCCTCTTGCTTGAAGCCAGGCACGGGCTGGTTGAATGAGAAAAGAACCGGATCCACCCTGGGAAGGGTCCTGGGGGCTTGGCCCCCTAGTGATGGGCCCCTGGGAAAGGTGAGGGTTTTGTGTACACCCAGGCAGGAGGGGTCAGCTGTTCCATTCAGATCTTGTTGCTTCCTGCAGAGGGCCTGTGTGGGACCCTCCTGGAGGGAGGGGACAGAGGTGGGAGAGGGAAAGGGAGGGGTAAGGACCTCAGAATTTAAGGTGAGGTGATTTCTGGACAGTAGCTTAAGGTAGGATGAAAAATGGACCAGAATTGGAGGCCCTGGAAGTGGAGTCAGGGCCCAGGCCTGGAAGGCCAGGCTTTGGGCTCCTCCTCTCTTCTTTGTTCATCGCCCTTAGCCGGTGAGAGAAGTTAAATAACTGCCAGCCCCATCCCCCTGTGCCCTGGAGGACTGGGTTGTCCATGACGGAGCGAATTCTAGAGGCGACCCTTGTTCACATAGGTGCCAGGCAGTGGCAAGGGCTTGGCTCCATGTGGGGATAAGAGCAGACGCAGTGAAAAGGGGGAATTCCAAGAAGACACAGCCCAGGTGTTCAGTCCTGAGAATGCCCCTGCCCTGCCCCTGGCAACCCAGAGCTTGCCACACACCCCCAGCTCTGGTCTGAGTGCCCAGTATAAGGCAGGCCCCACTAGGGCTAGCTGGACCCCCACAACTCTCTGCCACCTCCTTGGCGGCTTTTTTTAAGAAGTCCATTTTGGCTATAATCACCAAGACAAAAAATAATAAACGTTGGAGAGGATGTGGAGAACCCTCATTCACTGCTGGTGGGACTGCAAACTGGTACAGCCTTTATGGAAAACAGTATGGAGATACCTCAAAAAATTAAAAATAGAAATACCTTATGATCCAGCTATCCCACTCTGGGTATTTATCCAAAGACCTTGAAATCAACAATCCAAAGAGGCTTATGCACCCCTATGTTCATTGCAGCATTATTCACTATAGCCAAGACATGGAAGCAACCCAAGTGTCCATCAACAGATGATTGGATAAAGAAGATGTGGTATAGATATACAATGGAATACTACTCAGCCATAAAAAAGACAAAATCGTCCCATTTGCAACAACATGGATGGACCTAGAGGGTATTATGTTAAGTGAAATAAGCCAGACAGAGAAAGACAAACACTGTATGACCTCCCTCATATGTGGAATATAAACTAACACATGGACAGAGAGAACAGTTTGGTGGTTACCAGGGGGAAGGGAGTTGCGGGGTGGGCACAAGGGGTGAAGGGTCGCCTTTACATGGTGACTGACAAATAATAATGTACAGCTGGAATCTCACAATGTTATAAACCATTATGACATCAATAAAAAAAAAAAGTCCATTTTCCTAGACGGAAAGGTAGATGACAAATTAAGTTCCTCAGGGGCTGACTCTAGGGGAAAAAATGACGCTAGGTGGCAGTTTGTCTCAGCAGTCCCTCTCCTTCTTACCTCCAACCCCCCTCCTCACACCACAGGTGTTGGGTTCCAGCTGTCAGGATGCTCTGCGGCCTGGCACTCTTTTCTGCCTGGGAGGAGAGTAGCCAATAAGCTAACCACATTAAGGACTTCATTTGTTTCCCACTCCTCCAGGGCAGACAATGGCAAATGTCAGCTGGGCTGAACTGGATTCTCTGCAAATGAAGGAATGAAAGAACTGAGGGAGAATGTGTGCAGGACATTATTCCTTAACCTTATCTTTCTTAACCTTCCTATTCCCTCTTCTCTCTACCCCCACCTTCCACAGTCGTGTCCCCCCCACCTTTGGGCAGGATACTCTCCTTGTGCCAGTTTCTGTGTTTGTAAAACAGGATAACGCCTCCGGTATTGGGCTTTTGTGAGGTTTACTTGAGACGAGGTAAACACGACAGCTGGGCCGGCATTCTCTGGGTTCCGTGCTGTAGGCCCTTGTGAGGGGGACAGAGTAGCTGCTGTAGGTCTGGAGAGGCAGTTCCCAGCCAAGGAGGAAGAAGCTGGGGGCAGGGTGGGGGTGGGGGCTCCTGAGGGGCCAGAAGCTCAGAGAAAGACTGACTGGTTGGCAGAGGAAGTGAACCCACGCGTCAAAGGGGCTCTGCCCAGAGGCAGCTCCCGTCTCCAGCACTGGGTGGACAGTGTCCTGGCTTTTCCCCTGTCCCCATAGGCCTCTGAGGGATCGGGTGTTCAACTAGCACTTCAAAGAACATCCATTAAGCCAGGTGCTGGGAGGGGCCCTTTTTCTAGTTTTGTCTTCATTAATCCTCACAGCAATCTGCATAAGGTAAGTGTTATTATTCCCATGATACAGCGGGGCACATGGAGGCTTAGAGAGGTGGTCGAGCAGCTGTCGAGTAGACCTGGGACTTGATTGGTCTGGGTGACTCCAAGCACAGTGCTCTCCGTCCTGCAGCAAGATGTACACCTTGCTTCTGCTGGGCCATCTACACGCCTACTGTGTGCCAGCCCCTTGGGCTAGGTTCTGAGAATGTCAGGTAAACAAGACAGACATGGTCTCAACTTCCCACAATTCACAGTCTCAGCTGGGGAGACTGACAAGTAATTGAGCAGGTACAACACAGCACAGTAAGTGCTATCTGAAGTGAAGTCCCTAGAGCCTAGGGGACCCTGAAGAGGGGCATCTGACTCAGACAGGGGATCAGGTAAGGCCTCCTGGTGAGTCACAGCAGAGAACCATGAGTGCCCATAGAAGCCCCATCCCCCAAATTTCTCCTCCAAAGTCAGGCCAATAGCAAGGCTAGGTACAAGTGGCATCTGCAAGGGGGCCCTTCCCACCTCCCTCCCTCACTCCCTTGGGCACCACCTCTCACGACTGCCTCAGGTCCCTGAAGTACAGCTGTTCCCCTACAGGTATATGAAATATACCAACAGGGCAGAGCCAGCTCTGGCCTTGCATCTCTCCCATGGGCACAGCAGGCACAGCCACCTGTTCTCCATCCCGTGGTGGGCCTGGGATCTCAGAAGAGCAATGGGGGAACAGGTCACACTGAGGCCTGTCCTCTACTGCCCTGACCCCATTCCTCCCACATGGCCCACAACTTCCTCTGGACCTACCTCAGCAAGAGCCTGCCCAGGGCTCAACCTCCTCACCTTCCTTGTAATTCTCAATGCCAGAAATAACCTCCCCTTGCTCACACAACGATCTCCTTTTTTATCTGGGGGCCTCCTCAATTAAGAAGTAGTCCTGCCCAAGAGGAGGAGCCAGTGTCTCATACCCACCCCCTTCTTCAGGGAATAATCCCCGTAGGTGTGCTACAGACCTGGGCCATTCCTAATGGGGCTTGCCCTTTATCGGCCCTTCATCCCAGAAGCTGAGTCTGTGATCCAGTATGACCTGTGGGAAGCCCCCAAAGGCCCCATGGCCTGGTGATGGCCCACTGGACTTGGCAATGGCCCAAGCAATTACACTTTGTCTTCCTTTCTCTGTCTCACTTTCTCTACCTGCAAGCTCCCTCTCCAGACCTTGGGAGACAGACACAGAGACTTGCTGGACTCACAGGAACTCAAAGGGAGAATCAGAGATGCTGACTTTGTACACAAAACAGCTTTATTAAAAATTCAGCTATTAGAAAAACAAAGGCTTCACAAGGGTTCTATCAAAAAGTATAAATTTTAAATAAATGAGTCAGAAAAGTGGCAGCCAGATACACCAACCAGTCACAACCTTGGGGGAAGGGAGCAGGTGGCCAGAGCCCCAAAGAAGAGGCTGGGCACAGGGGTCTTTGGATGCCTATAAGGCCAGGTCCTGGAGCTACCAGACAAGGGCCCTGACAGTTTTCCTTTCCTTGGAAAAATGGTTCTTTACTTGTTAAGTGTAGGAAACTCTGTCTGAAGCAGAAAGGCACAAAAGTCATTGATAAGGCATGACTACTGACTCCAGCCCTTAGGCACACGGAGTGGATGAATGGGCGGTCAGAACCAGAGGGACCCAGGTTAAATTAAGGTGGACCAAGTGGACGGCATAATCCTTGTAGCTGGGGGCTGGGAGCCAGTCTTTAGAACAGACGTGTTGCTTCACTGGCGAACTGGTGTCTGGCCCTGCCAGGGCAAGAATGATCACACTGGCGCCCAAGAAATTCCCCCAGTGGGGACACCAGACTTCCTGTCCAACTCTGTTCTCTGAGCCACTATGGGCACCCACCTTGGACAAGGAACTTCCGAGGGCAGCCCCTGCCATCCAGGCATCTGGAGAAGCCCCACGCCCCAGAGCCAGGGTTTCTCTGGATGGCAGGCAGCAGTACAAGAAGCTGGCATTGTCAAAACCAGTCCCCAACAGCTGCTGGCCCATACCCATGGTCATTGGTGACAGGCCTCCCTGGTGACATTAGGCAGCGGGTAGGCAAACAGGGAGAAGTCCAGGATGTACTTAGGAAGCACGTCCTGCAGCAGGGCCCGTGGGGCACTACACAGGTGGTAGTGCAGGCTTTCAGGGCTCGCTGGCCGGTACCAGGCCTGGCGAGCTGGGAATCGGACATGGGGCGGTGCCTGCACCCACTCCAGTACTTGGTTGGCATCAGCCTCCAGCCTCTCATAGGAGCCTACAAAGTCATAGTGCACGGCACAAGGCTGACACAGGTGGTACACGGGCATCCAATGCTCATTCATGCGCTCAGGGTCCTCATCCACCAGGTATCTCAGGAACTCGGGGAAGGTGACATCATCCCCTGCGGGGCTGGGGCCCGCTCCAGCCCTGTACCGCCGCACGATCTCAGCCCCGTAGCGCTGTTGGTACTCTCGGATCTCGCCAAACTTGTTGCGGTAAGCAGAGAGAAGGCGTTCCAAGGGGTCCCGCACAAACAGGAACTTGAAGTAGTGCTGCAGGCGGTAGCGAATCTCCTCAGGCCGCAAGTCTGCCAGAAACACCAGGTCATTGCGGTGGTCCATCTTGAGGCGGACGTCCACGCTGTCCAGAACGCCCGCCAGCACCTTCAGCACCCGCTTCCAGTTAGAGCAGGCCACTTTGGGGACATAGCAGTAGAGGAAGCGGTAGCGGTCACTCACGAGGATGTGGCGCAGTACGGTGCGCCGCTGCCCCACTGTCAAGTCCCAGGGGTCCCGGGGCATGCCTGGTTGTCCGCACACTGCCCGCAAGGTCCGGTTCCGGACGTCCTGCCTCACCTGCAAGTCCGAGTCTCCGGCATCCAGGGACAGCCTCCCCGGCCTGGCGACTGAACCGCGCCAGGCTGCACCCTCGCGGTTGGGAGGGTGCAGGGGAAGGGGCTTCATCTCGGCCAGGATGCCCCGCTCGATCATGAGCAGCAGCCCGCTGGAGGCCACGATCACCGCGAACATCAGCATGGACGGCAGCAGCAGGGGCGGCCCCCCCAGCCCGGCCCGGGCCCTGCTCACTGGGGCCCGCCTCAGCGCCCGGCCCAGGGGCTCGGCGCCATTTGGGGCCGCCAGCGGGGTCAGCGGGCGGGGGAACATGGTGCTCCCGGGGTAGGGGCCTGCGCGGACCGGCCGATCCGAGGGCTGCCTGGGAGGCGGGCTCGGGCTGGGGGCGGGAGCCGAGGGTTGGGCCCGCAGCGCCGGGAGGGGATCGGAGAGGGGAGCCCCCGGCGCGCGCAGGGGTGGCCGGCTCCCGGGCTGCGGCGCCGGAGGGGGCGGCGGGCAGCGGGCGGCGGGCGGGCGCGGCGAGGGACCGGGGCCGGATGTCCCGCCCGGCAGCTCTCCGCCCCCGGCCCCGCCGTGACACAGGCGCGAGGGCGGGCCCAGGCCGGGGGCGGGGAGAGAGGCAGGCACCTCTGCAGGGAGCGGGCTACCGAAGAGCGTGCAGACCCCCACCCGGGAGAGGGCGCCTGAGCCAGGGCCGCCCCGGTGCTCCGGGCTTCGGGGACAAAAGCTGCCAAGGCCTCGAAGGCAGAAAAGCTCGGGGCTGCGGCCTCCTCTCTCGCTCAGCGCGTGCCCTCAGGGAGCTGGACGGAGAGGACCTGCACCCAACGCCCACCCGCACACTCCGCCCTGGCCGAGCCCTTCCTCCCACGGCGCCCCGGCGGTTGCGAGGCAGCGTGTCCCTGCGGCGCTCTCCACGAGTCCAAACTTTCGGGAGGCCCCTCTTCCTAGCTGGAAGCAGAGTCCCCAGTGTGCTCCCCTTACCCATCCTGTCCTGGCCACTCCAGTAAAGAGAAACAAGACTGTCAAGCACTGACCAATGGCTCGTCTCCATGGTGACCCTTAGATTTAACAGTACTTGGTGGATTACAGTGTTTATCCACTGGGTAATGCTGAACTGTCTGGAAATGGAACCTTCTCCCCTCATCTGCCTTCCCTTCACCAGCCTTTAAGAGGTGGGATAACTGGGACACTCTCTGGTGAGGGGCTAATGACAAGTTGGTGCCTTGTGACCCACTGGTGTGGGCAGCACACATTTAAAAAAAAAAATTTTTTTTTCCCTCCCCAAAGCCCCAGTACATAGTTGTATATCCTAGTAGTACGTCCTTCTAGTTCTTCTACGTGGGCCGCTGCCTCAGCATGGCTTGATGAGCAGTGAGTAGGTCCGTGCCCAGGATCCCAATGGGCGAACCCGGGCCGCTCAAGCAGAGCACAAGAACTTCACTCCTACGACTCCGGCCAGCCCCTCAGCACACATTTTGAAGGGTGAGGAGCTGGGCACAGAGCAGCTGCCTCCTTTGCTTGGAGCCACAGCCGGTCACATGGGCTAGAGGCAGCTACGGGAATGCCTAGAATGTCAGTGGCCAGCCTTTACCCACCTGAACTGGGCACCTAGCTAAGTGTCCAAACTTCACCCTGCTACGTGGGGAGCCAGTGAGGCTCTGAAGCAGAGCAGTTATGTGAAGAGAGTCAACATTTATTGAAGCAGGTTCAGTGTTTTGTATTCTCTCCTTCCATTGTCACAGTCACTCTGGGAGGTAGGTAACTATGGGCATTCCCACTGTACAGCTGAAGAAACAGAAGCTCAGGGAAGCTGAGACTCTCCATGGGTCAGTCCGATTCTAAAACCTAAATTCCTAACTACGATCCTTCAGAGATTAATGGAGCACAAACATGGAAGGGTAGGAAGGGAAGAAGCAGCTGACCCCAGGAAATGCTGTACTGAGGCGGTGATGGAATAGGAGGAGATGCCAGAGGCTTTGAGTTTAGTGGGATAATGGAGCTACCACTGAGCAGATGAATTCACAAAGAAGGATGAGGGGTTCTGAGGGATGAGACAAAGCTAGAGGACTCACGGAAGCTGCCCCGCGATCCTAGTAACGTGAGAGCACAAGGGATGAGCAAGGGGAAGGAATAGGAAGCCTGGTGGCCTTCCAGCTCCTTAGAGTAGGCTCCCCACATTCCACTGTCTCAATGCTGGGGTGCACCTCAGGATGCACCATTCACTGATTTAGAAGTTTGCATCCAGGTTCAGCCTTCAACGAACAGCTTCTTGCCTCCAACTGCACTGAAGGTAGATTTCTGGTGGTGGAATTATTTTCTACTGAAAAAAAATTTTTTTTCTTTTAAACAGTAAGTACATCTTTTATATTAGCAGAGGGAAAAAAAAAAACCTTTGAAAAGTTTTTGATAATTTGGCCACACGCATTCATTTCTCTGAACGGTTTTTAGTGTTAGCAGTCACAGTGAAGTAACCTGAGGAACACCCACTTACTCTGGGGGAATCCTTGGGCAAGGTACTTGTCTCCACACCAGTTTCCTGTCTGTAAAATGATAGGCTACCACCCATGTCATGGGACTCTTGTGGGCAGCACACTGATGGCAGTGCTATAGTAAATCCATGGTGGTATTCGTGCCACTAAAAACCTCAATGGACATGCACCTGCCCAGATGTCCTTACCAAAATGCAGAAAAGGATGGGGGGCCATGCTTTGCCTCCTAGGAACCCCCATGGCCTTAGAGCTGCCCCACCTTAAGCACGGTGAACACTGAGGCTTTGGGGCTGGGGCTGGGTTGAACCAGGTTCCAGGCAGTCAAAAATCCTTGGCCCCATGATGTGGCCTTCATTCCCTCAGCAAGGAGTGCCAGTTGCTAGATATTGAGGCACTAAGACAGTTTCTGCTAGCCAGTCCTCAAGGGCATGACCCAAGATGACGAGATGGTATCTTCACCATGCACCTACTTGGTGACCAGTTCCCAGGTCACTGACCAGGTGAGGGCTGGCAATCTAAGGATTTCACACAGTCCAGGCAGGTGGCTCTGGCCACCACGATGCCAGGAAGTCATCTACAAGCTCCCATTCCTGCTGTCTCCTCTCCTCCCTCTGCTTTCTGCTTACTTTCTTGCCCCCTCTGCTTATTGGCCTTAGTGAGCCCCTACAATACAAGGGTTAAGAGGGACCCCCAAAAGAGAGTAGTGAGCCTCTTGCACTCACACACAAAAAGATGACAGGACACACAGGAAATGATCCTTTTCTAAATCAATACAATTTCTCAAATTTATTTTTTTTCTTAAAGAAGTACTTCTAATCTCTGTCAAAAGGGAGGTGAAGAAAGGTCCTCCCTCCCTTGTAAACACTGAAATACAGATCTGAGAAACCAGGGTCGACACACACAAAAAGTGCATTTTACAAAATATCAACTAAAATATATTTTACATGAATTATGCTTCCACTGAAATTCTACCAGCTGCATTTTCAGGTTCGAAAAAATAGTTCCACATCTAAGAGATTTCAAAAGCATTTAAGTTCTGGGCAGCAGACCCCACCTCCTGGGAGGAGGGGCCGTGATCTCCTCTCCTGCTGGGTGAGGCTGGGGTCCTTGGCAGCAAGGACTCAGCACCTGGGAATGAGCAGGCTCCAAGGCTGGCTCCTCACAGCCCCCACAGCCACTCTGCCAACTTCTCTTACTGCTCCGCTCTCCCGGACCGATGATGCCTTCCTCTAAACAGCTTATTCAACACAAAGGAACCCAAGTCCCTTCCCTTCGGGTTTGAGATTGGGCTTCCCACGTGTAAATTTGCCTCTGAAGCCTCTAGGCCTCCCCCAACCCCAGTGACCAATCAGGAGCAGCCCGTCTTCTCAGGGACAGCACAGGGCAGGGGGTTGCTGGGAGTGCCCTCAGGATTCGCTTCTACCTCTCCCTCTCCAGCTCCTGTCCTCACCCAGTGCCACCTCCTCAGCCTGTTGGGTCTGTGTCTGCCTCTCCGTAGGGGAGGAGGACCCAGGGCTGCCCTCCTTGGCTTCTGTCCCCAGGGGTGTGCCCTGTGGAAGTGCTCACAAGCAGGTTCCAGTGCCAGGCCCAAGCCATGCTGTGCTCCTCTCCCTCTCCCCACTATGCTCCTCTTTGGTACAAATAGGAAAGAACCAGGCTGCTCCAGTTCCCTCACAGAGAGCCCCAGGGCCAGGGTCTAGTCCTGGCAAGGACAGCAGGGGACTGGGTTGAGCCTCCTAATCTACTCTGGGGAGCAGCATGAGGTGAGAAGAGGGCCCCTGGGCAACAGGGACAAACTGAAAATGCAGGTCCTTAGCTCCTAGAGTGAGTGGCTGCAGCTCAGCAGGTCTGTGGACTGATACAGTGTTGATTCGCGCTGGGATGTAAATTAGTGCAATCTACAAAAGACTAGGGGAAGGGGTGGCAGGGCTAGGGGAGCCACAGCACTCCTTTGGTTTGATTTCAGGTGGGTGTGGCTTGAAGAGTCATGTATGAAGTTCTGCAAGAGGTTTCCTAGAACCTCCAAGTGTAAGGCAAGAGGAAAAGTCTTCAATAAATCAGGTAGCAATTTTCCTTGCCCCCTGCCCCCACCCCCTCTGCCCTCCCAGACATGACAAACCCCATGTTGATTAGTTAACTTCTGGGAAGCCAGACCTGCTGGGCAGCCCTCACCAGGAGGCGGACAGGAAGCTGACTCCCACAAGTGGGCCACACTCAGGACTGTGAGGGCCGGGTAACTTGTCCCAGCACCAGGGGCTACTGCAGGGGCAAAGGAGGAAAGCCAGGGAAAGGCCCCAAGTCCAGGAAGAGGAAGTCAATGCTCTGGAAGCCAGACTCTAGCTCTCTCTGCCTCAAAGGAACGAGCTCGGAGCTGTGCTAGAATCGGGGAGAGCCTGGTCCCAGGCTAATGGGGAAGCAGCAGGTCACAGTGGGTGAGGTAAAGCTGGCTCCCACTCCCCCTCGAAGGGCCTAGGGGAGGCTAAAGAAGGGCCTGTTGGGCCTGGTTCCTGAAGGACCTCCCCTACCCTCCAGGGCCCCATGCCCCTCAGGCTTGGCCCAGCCCCAGGGAAGACTGCTTCTTCAGGAGTCTCCGCCCAGGAGACCACAGAGAGGTACCCTGGGCAAAGCTGAGAAGCTCTGAAGCTTTTCTTATACCTGGCTTCCCCTTCCCTCCCATGGGGCCCAGAACCCATAGGGGCCCCTGCCCTCCCCCCGAGAGAACCACAGGCCAGCAACCTCAGGCCCCTGTGGCCCCTTAACCAAGTGCTGTGCTTCAAGCAGTGCCCCCTGCCCCGAGCCCCACTTGCCGTGGGCAGCCCAGCATGGCCTTGAGGAGGCTACTGGGGGTTCTTGAGGATGCGGCCATGGCGGAAATCATAGACATGGCGGCAAAGAAACACCAGCTCAGGGTCCGTGTCCTCGGGCACTGTGCGGTGTGGCGGGGTGGAGTAGTCTGCAGAGGGGGGCACCAGTGCTGTCTTTCGGCTGGG